AAATGTGGAGCTGTGGCAGCTGAACACCATTCCAGGCCATACCTGAGGGCTCTGAGACACATCCTCACTCCATGCTGCTGCAGGGAGTTCAGCCAAGTCAGTTTGGGAAAGTGGGACACAAGTTTTGAGTCCTCTACAGGACAGCCCTCACTTCCAATTCACATCACTGCTCACATCACACAGCTTACCTGAATGAGGAGACCACAGCTCTTCATCCAAACTGAGCATCATGAAACATTTAAACTTATGGTTTGGGTTTTAAAGAGTTTAAGAAATGAAATGCTGCTCTAAGGAAGTTTTAGACTTGTTTCCATGGAGTTCATGCCATGCTTCCCCAGCTCAAAGCACTCACAGAGTAGATCTCAAAGGCATTTTATAGCCACAAAAAGCCATAAGAGCAGGGAATCATCCAGTGCTGCTGATGGGTCCAAGAAGCTGCAGAGAGTGAAAGCAGCCTCATTTTCTCCTGGTAAATACCCATCCTTTCAGCATGCCAGTGACTGTTGTGATGGCCAGATGGTGGTGGAAGCAGTAAGTTCAATGATGTTAGCTACACACAAACTCCAACTGATGTCCAAACTCATTTTGAAAACACACCTGATTGGGCTGCTCAGCATATGGCAGCAATGCTCCACTGGAACTGCATTTTGTGGCCTTTAAACAACTAACAAAACTAACAAGGGGTCCAAGGATGAGCAAGCAGGGCCCCAGATCCCAACTATTTGATGCTCGTCCCTTTATAATGGTGATGAAAAGGTGCAGAGATGTGGTGGAAGTGCCAGCCTGCAGCTCCTGGACCACATCCAGGTAAGAGGAGCAGGTGTCACACATGCCACCAGCACAGCTGTGCCACCTCTTCTAATGAGGAAACATCCCAGGTGATCTGCTGAGCAGCACTGGATGATTCCTAATGAAAGGATGAGCCCTGCTGTGACAGCCCAATTGCAAGCACACAGATCTTGGGTACTTTTGAATACAAACAATGCAAAATAAACACAGTGAACAGATTGAGAAAAATTATTCTGGCATCTGCCAACCTCCACTAAGGGCTTTCCAACAAACCTGTGGGTTTCCAGAGGAATGGCAGAGGCCATCTCTACACCAATAGGTAAGCAGCAACCTCACCTGTGATTTGAAAGCAAAGGCAAATTCACTAGGCACCACCCCTCAGAATGGACCTGCACACACAAAATTACGTGTTTGTGTTTTTCTGAGATGATTTAGCCCAACTTTACACCACAGAGGCCTATATTCTAACAGTGTCAGCACTGAGCAGGATCCACAGATCCCACTCCATGCATTGGAGCTCCTTCCTTTCTGCTCCAGTGCTCTCCTTGCCCACCTTATTTTCAGGTGCTCTTCCTCCAGCAGTTATTTACCTTGGAACATCAAGGCTTGCTTGGAGATGCAAACTGCACAGGTCCAGAGAAAATGGGACAGGATCCAGAGGAAAAGGACCATGGAAAGTCAGCCAGCCATGTCCCCTGCCCCAAAGCAAGCTGTAGCACAGCCATTGCTGCTGGCAGATGCTTGCTCTCAACAGATCCCCATTTGTGGAGCAGCTACTGCTGGCTCCCCACACATCTCTTCAGTGACTCCCTACCCTTTTGTTTTATACTTAGCCTTAGAAGAAACTACCACTCATCCCAGCTACAATTCAAGCCCCATCTACCATATGATTCCAAGCCCAGTCCTTCCACTGCATCCTCACAAGTGCCTTTTCCCACATTTTCAAGGTCTCAGTCACACCACTCTCCCCTGCCATTTCCTGCCCTGTGTGCAGTGTCTCAAGTTGCACCTCTAAAGTACAGATTATCTTGGATCTCCCCAAATGCACTTTTGTGAACCATTTGTGAACCCCAGCCTGAAACTTTTCCAGCACCAGTAGGACCAGCTTTATCTGAAACAGTGCTTGCAAGCTGTCACAACTCTGAATTTGTGCAGCTGTTTTACCCTGCCTAAATTTAGTGCCTTGCTAAAAAGGATCTTGTCTTTCCCCACCATCTCCTCCCTGCTGCAACCATTTCTGCAAGATTATTTTGAATTCTAATGCTATCTTATCTTTCACATCTGTCCAGTTTCCTGTTGACTGTAGGTTTAACGTGCATGCTACTTTGTTATCCAGGTTGTAATAAAAATGAAAGAGATAAGTGACCTAGAGCTACTCCCTGCGCCCCACGCAACACAGCCTTCCGTTCTGACACTGGTGCAAGATGGAAGGAAACCACTCCCAGAGCAGAGCTGCTTACAGCCCCCTCAGCTGCTCCAAGCACAACTCAGCCTCTGAAACCACTTTTCCTTCTTGCAAACCATCCTCTGTTTGCCCAACAGCCTCCACACCATCCTGTAAGCAAGAGCAAAGGGGCCACATTCATCATCTGTGGTTTTGTTTTAGAGAGGGGCTTCTGATCTCATGGACCTTCTGCCCCATCTGAAGGAAGTTTCAACCAACAATTCCTTTTGCTGCTGGTTCTCATGGGGGATTACACTGGAATCTGCAAAGTGCACAGATTCCTCCCAGCAGATTTCTTCATTTGCCAGTGTCACTGCACAGCTGTTCAACTGCTTATTTTCCTGTCACCGACTAACACAAGCCTAAACTAGATAATTACTACTTCCTACTGTCATGAAATTCATTCTTCAGTATCCAAATCCACTCCTTTCTGTTTGCTCCCATGAAAGGGCTATTTAGAGTTTTAACAGCTGGTTTAGCAGGAGACTGAGTCCTGTGTTACCATGAGCAAACGGATCTGTAACTTCCCTCGGGAAACCCCTTCCTACTCCAAGGACGGGGCAGGAATGCGGCTTTGTGTGGGCTGAAAACAGCACACCTACAAAAGCAATTCATCAACACCACAGGCAGGCTGTATTTCAAAGCTAGAACAAATATTATCTGGTTGTCTACCCTTGCCTTTGCTTTATCACCATCTTATTGATAGCTTCAGCTTTTGTTATTTTTGCATTGACAGTGCACATCTTAACCTCCTTCCATCTGTGTCCTCTGAGGGATTTTCTTCTTTTACTTCTTCCAGAAGCTTGTCTTCCTTGGGGGAGGAAGAACTAAATGGATTGCCACATTAGCTTTCTCATTCCATGCCATTACACTTTTAACTAGAGCTTTCAAATAGGTAAATTAGCTTTTAAGTGATCCCAGTTGTACCATTGGCCTTTGCTACAATCCTGCATTAGAGCTGATTCACTTTTACTTACCTCTATTGCTCAATTAAGAGCACTGAGAGAGGAAAAGCCGTTCTGCAGCCCAGGAGTTAGCTGGGCTGTTCCCTTACCCACAGTCTCACCACACTGCAGCATTTTCCCATCCACAGTGAGGTTCTGGCTGCACCTCACTCGCTGTTTCTGGAGGAAAAGCACCAAGAACAGAGATCCTCCATCACACAGGATTATTCCAAACGCTGCTCTGTGCTGCCCCACAGCAAGCACCTGCAGGGTGAGACATTCCCAACAGGAGCTCCTGAAGGAACTCAAGTCTTGGCTCCAACAGCAACTCCTTTATTCACTCCTCTAGAAAAAGGAGAATGATTTTCATCACCAGAGACAGGCCTCACTGCTCCCACACAATTTGCAGGAACACACCAAGAACCTGGCAAGCCTCTGCAGTGTTCCTGCACCTCACTATGTACACACGCCAGTATCAATAGCACAGACCATTGCCACTTCAATGGGAGCTGTAAAAGAAAAAAGTTTAGGGCACCTCCTCCCTGAATCTTAAAATTTTACTAAGATTCTGAGTTATGTGCACTTGTTCAGTAATTAAGGGCCAATCCCTTTATGATCAAAGGCTGACCCTAGCCACATGGCTGGATCCTGTATCATACCTTGCCACACACTTTAACACATCCCTCATGAAATTTCTTCATCTTTTAATCATGTTCCATTAGCTGGCTGGTTGCTGTATTTTGGTTTTATGGCACAAGTTCCAGTAGGAGTTGGCTCATTTAGGCACAATAACATGATAGACTCAAATGCCATTATCTGAGTTGCCTACCCCATTAAACCATTTGGAGATTAATTTCCCCCTTGTTGAGGAAGTTCCTTATTGTAGCTGAACTAAAAAGTATGTGTTGCAATAGTCTGCAAAGAGTGCATTATGACATTTGAGATTATTCCAGTGTATGTAATCATTGAGACACTTTTGGGATCCAGCATGAGTTATTTCACAGAGCTCCAGACAAACCTGACATCACTTTTGTTTCAGATGACCAGAAATCTGCCCTTCCCCTCCACCAAATTCCAGGCATAAATACCCCATTACAGAATCTACCACATTTTTCACCAGTAAAATCCATGAACAGACACACAAGTGCAAAGCAAAATGTCATTTTATTTAATTCAAGGACTATTTTCCTTCTAGTATTGCTGAAGGGATCACCTCCTGGGGAATTGATCATTACAAAGTCCCTGTCTAAAAGTTCAAGTGCTCTTGTTGTACATTCTTTTGAAACACAGAAAACATAATGACCAAGTAGGTGGGCAGCTACTTGCAGTTTTGGCCCACCTGAATTAGCATTGCTTCAGGCTAGAAAACAATTCAAGTAGTAAAATAATGAAAAATGTTAACCTTTAAGGTCACTACCATATTCTGATCAAAAAAGTCCTGAATGTAGGAAAAGAACATTTGTACATGTTATGAAGTTGTTTTTTAACCAGACACTGTCAAAGATGGCAGTTAAATATTTTGGACCAGTTGTCAACCAGATATTTAAGAGTTCTATCTGAAGGTTTATTACCAATTTCATTATGCAATTCACTTTTCACATTAAGCTCTTTAACAAAAGCAACATAGACCCGCACCAGAATCACTGTAGACAGATTTAGTTTTATAGAATGCCCTTCTGAAAATTCGTTTCAAAATAGAGATGCTTTTTCTCCAGAACTGTAAAAGCCATAAAAATGCAAAATATTTGTTAGGAAATTTTTAATCAAAATTATTCCTTAATGTTCAAAATAACATTTAACCTCCTACATTTTTTGTCGTTGTTGTTGCTGTTGTTGTCATCCACGTATTGACCAACAGAGACTAAACAGGTAACAATGGTTCACGTTTTTCCCCCACCTGAAACACTTCTTCTAACACGGCCCCAAAGATAGGCAATACAGAGATTCAGGGACATGGATTATGCACGGCAAAGGTAATCCTCTATCGCTTTAATTTAGAACAATTCTGATCCTAGCGCCCGGCTCGGAGGAGTCTCAGTTGTTCTCGATCTGCTCCAGGTCCAGGTCCCCGCAGTCCAGAGGGAAGATGCCCTCCTCCTCGTGGCTCTCGCAGTCGCTCGTGTCCTCGTCGCTGTCGCCCGCAGGCTGGCACTGCCGGCCCTGGCAGGGGCCCTGGCACCCGCGGCGCCGCCCCTCCTCGCGCTGCTCCTGCACCGGGCTGCAGCCCGGCGTCACCGCGCCCGTGAGGTCACTTGAGTCACAGGGCGAGGACACGATCGTCTTCATCTGTGTGTCATCGTCGTCATCTTCATAGTCGAGGGAGCAAAGACTTTTGGAATTTTTTAAAGTCTGCAATTAAAAAAAAAAAGAGAAACCATGACTATACTGAACATGACTGGACAGGAGGAACAGAATAAATTCTTGACATTCTTGAATGGTTTGAGTGTATGTACTCAAGAGTGCCACGTGTTTAAAGTAATCCTCGAAATGAGAGGCATGAAGGAAGAGGAAGAATGGTATTTACTTACTCCACAGTCAGGCTTTGCATGGATATTTTGCCTAGATTCCCATCTGTGAGAAAAACAGTCCCCTTTTTTATGCAGGAAGACCCAAAAACCTACCCTTGATCAACTACATGAGGAAAGAGAGACACCCACCCAGTTTGCTGTATTGGGTTTCTGGCAAATCCAGAGCAGAGCATTTGGTGACACCAGCATTTAGGTCAGACAGCTGCCTTGCAGCCTGGTCAACAATTAATTTCCCCTGCAGACAATGAGCCCTCAGGCGTCCCCTCAGAGACTGCCAGGACAACTGGCACATTTGGGTAATCTCAAACAGAAGAAACCCAAGCCTCTACTGGGAGCATCTTGCTTGGTTAGTCTTTCGGCTGGGTACGGTCTGAACAGGAGCTCAGGAGCAATTCTGTTTCAATTCAAAGGACATTAAAACTAGAGGGGCACTCATCCTTATTTGTACAATGGCAAAAGAAAAACACTCAGTAAATGTGCTACCTCTGTACCAGAGATAAAGGAAAATACCCAAGCTCCTCATGGAGCAGAAAGGGAGCCTTGGCTAGAATCCAGGGAGAGCATTTATGAAAAAACCAAATATACAGAGAGCAGAACTTAAATTTTAACAAGTGAAAACCTTCCGAATTGTGCCTCATGCAAGCACCCAGTGAGAGGAGGGTGAAACAGCCAGGGCTCCTCTGAGAAGTGGTGCAAGACAGAGTAATGTCACACTCATTTTCAGTCTCTCACTGGTTAAGTGACTCCAGCCTCACAGACAGCAATCATTGTATTACAAGGAGATCCATAGGGAACAGGACCAACTTTCACACCCATTTCCAGCTTCCTCCTCCAATTTATCATTTCTTAAGTATTTCATATTTGTTTATTTGAAATGGGAACATTCCTAGTATGCTGTATTCCAGATGCTCTTCCAGACATGAGTGTAATGGTTCCTGCTCCACCAATGAACACCAGCACCCACATAAAGGGGCTTACCAGCACCCACATAAGGGGGGTAACCAGCACGTTTGGGTATTTTTAAACAAAACTTCACAAATTCAGAAGAAATTTGAATTAGCCTTGTCTGTAAACAGCTGGTTAAACAAGGAAAGCTCACCAGGGGGAGGGAACTAGTCTGATCCCTTAGGCTGATGTAACATGTGGAACGCCTTGCAGAGAATCCCACTGCCGTGCTGCAAGGTCAGAGTTCCTTGGACAGCCCTACATCCAATCTGCAGGGAAAGCTCGTGGAGGGAAAGCTCAGGTCAAGGTGCAAAGCAGAGCACGCGAGGGCTGGAGCTCAGTCACAGCACAGGCGGGAAGGGATGGGATGGGATGGGCAGGGATGGGATGGGATGGGATGGGATGGGATGGGCAGGGATGGGATGGGATGGGATGGGATGGGATGGGATGGGATGGGCAGGGATGGGATGGGATGGGATGGGCAGGGATGGGGGCCCCATCACTGGTGCCCCTCCACAGCAAAGGCACTGCAGCAGCATTCCCTGAGCCTGCACCACAGCTAACACACCAGTGCCACACATTTCTCCACTGATCAGAGGTTTGATCTGCTCTTCCCCTGCTCAGCTTCCATATCTCACAACACACATTAGATGGTTGGTTAACAAGTCATACATTTCCAAGCAGAAAGAGCAATAAGGGATAACCTAATTTGTTTGAACAGACAAACAAGACCTCATCTAGGAGCTGATCTATATAAATCCAAGGCCTGCATTCAAAGATGAGCCCTCAGAAAAAAAATACTGCTAGTCATAGTTCTGCCAGGAGGAATTCAAAGTCTTTGTCAGCCATGGTTAAAGCCCTTATCCAGTTTTGCATGTGACTAACACCAATAAGACAAACAACCTTGCATCATCAAAAATATTTGTATTTTCAAATTTTACTCCCTGTGAAAACAGCTTCAGTATAATATTCATTCCTGCTTTCAAAATGCTTCCATATAGCATTTTACATTTTATTCAAGTAGAAACATTTGAGTTTCTCTCTATGACTAACAGGTACAAATTTCTCTCCTATTTATTTAAAAGCAAACCAGTATATTTTTAAAGTAAAAAACATTAAAGGATGTTTTAATCTTAAGTCTATCTCATGGCTTTGAAAAACAAAAGATGTCTTCTATCTCCATATAGAGGACAATATTTTCAGTTCTTTAAACTTATAGTAGGAGCTGGGAAGAAAAGGAACCAAATAAAGAGAAGCTTTGAAAGTTCTGCTTTCACTGTCTTAGAAAGGAATTCCTCAGTCCCCCTTCAAAATATCTTTTATTCAATTTACTGCAAGAAATTAATCCAACCACACAGCTGTCCTTCTAGAAGGTTTGTGTACATAAATGGAAAATTGCCTGTTAGCTGTACTGTGCTGAAACCACTTGAATGGGAACTTTTAGCTGGTTTCAACACAACAGCAAGTGCATTCAACTGGTTCTTTGTTCACCCACTTGTCACAACCTCACCAAACTAAAAATAGGTGGATTTATTATCTCGCAGCACAATCCAGCTCCTTTCACAAAGCTAAAGGTAGGAATTGCAATGCATTCAGGCCCTCTGAACTGCAGCTTTCCATGCTGCACTGGTACAGTACCACACCTTTCAACAACAATTGCGCTCAGTGGGGAGCCTGCGAGTACTTGCTCAATGGTCCTGTTTCATAAAGGATGCTGGACTGGCAAGACAAAAGAGTCCACAGTTGGCAATGGATAGAACTCAATCAGCTAGAAGCATTCTTTTGTGTGATGGAAAAAAAGGAAAAAAAAACCCTCAGAGTTTTAAAAGAAGTGAGGTGATAAAATGTCTGAATATTAAGGAAAAAACCCCAACTTTGTACCAAAAACAATGGTGGAGAAGGAAATAAAAGAAATCTCTCTAGACCCTTGCCATACAAAGCAAACAAGAAAGGCCCAGAGCAGCCTGAAAGGAAGCTAATGTCTGTACTCTTTATTAAACCTTCACTTCAGAAACCCATAATACATCACTTTCCAAATATAAAAAGCAATAAAAAGGTTGTTTTTGTTTTACTAACAAAACTAGAGCATTTGCTACAGTAGTCAAGGGAAAAAATAAGACATTTATGAGCATGAAAACCTAGTGCACAATGGGAGCAGCAGTTCTCATGCTTGTCCCCCAGTGCACCCTTGGCTTTGAGCGGGTGAGGATCCAGCTGCTCTGAGCAGGGGCAGCTGCAGCAGCTGGCTCTCCCTGGGGAGCAGAGCAGGCCTAAGGACCCCAAGCCCCCAGCCCATCCTGCTGCCTCCTCAGCACCAGTCACCCTGATGGCACAGGCTGGGCACAGAGGGAATTCACCATACTGGTTATCTGGTTTGCTTCCTGCCCATCCTGAGACCTCTGCCTGCGGTGGCACAGGAGATGCTGCTTTAACACTGGCACACAGCATTTCTCCACTGCTGAGGTCTCTCTACCAGCAATACGAAATACATGGATGGTGCAGTGGTCCTCATGAGGAGGAGATTCTGGAATTTCCTGGAGCATCAGCATCTAATCCAAGAGCAAAACACTGAAGTAGCAGAAGCCAAGCATGGAGCAACATGTGGCTTTTTTGTTCCTTCCCTCTATCTAGCCACTTGATGGAGATGGGGCAAGTCAGATGGGCTGCACTTCTCCCTTTAGAGCTTCATGGGTCCAGACTTCACTTCCTTGAATTAGGTTTCCTGTAGATTAGTGAGACTGGCTCCAAAAATGCCTTTAATGATGGTAACTCATAGCTAAAGCTCAGATCAGCACAATGCATTTGTGTCTCACACCTGTCCCCAAGGAGGTCACAGCTGACTCTCAGCAGCAACAAAACACAACCAGGGAACAATTTATTTTTTTTTTTTAAGAGATTCCATTAAGTGAAGCTAAGGGGGAGGCTTAAGGGAGGACTTTGTCAGAACTGGCACAAAAGCCTGGTGCTGAGCAGGGCTCAATCACACAGAACAAACCATCACCTGGCTGACAGCACACCCACCACACATTGATGTGAAAACTGAATTTTCACTTCAGGCACATTAGTGCCTTCACCTGTGACAATTCAAGTTGGAGATATGTACAGAGTCTACTGTAAACAATTAGAAATGTCAACTTGTTGTACAGATTAAAAAATATCCCATCACACTCCTAATCCCTGCATCTTCTACTATGCTATGCATGAAGTGAAAAACAGTAATAAAAATGCTGTGTTTATGTAACAAACTAATAATCTTTCTGTAGAATAAATCTCTTGACATTTGACTCTGACTTTTCTGTCTTGAATTGCACTGAGCATTTTGTGAACACTGCAGTGTTTGCAGATAACCTTTGCTTTCAAGAAACTTGCAGCTGAGTAGAAATGCTGCTTCATTGGCACAAAGTGGTGCTGACAGGAGGAAAACAATACAGTATTCTCCATGATGTTATGTGCCTGAGGCTTGCTAATGCACTAGAAGTTAAACCCTTAAGTGGGAAAGAATCTCCCCCTGTTCAAACAAGAAATTAAAAGGTGTAGAAATAAATTAGATCTTATAATTCAAGTGTCTAGGAAAAGACTTAAGAACCAAAACCACTGCAGATTTTTAAGTTATGCATTTGAAGCAAATCAAAAGACCCATAATTAATTGTCTTGCACCAGGTTAAAAAACAAGTAGTGAACAAAACCATTTTTATTTATGTATTATGTGGAAACCATCAAATCCCAAGAAAATTCCTGACACCTTCATGGGCAAAATCAAGTCTCTGTTCAAATTGATTTGGGAACCAAAGATGCTGTTCCTTTTTTTTAGCTCTGCAGTTATCCCTCGTTTTCCTGGAAATCTGACATGTACTTTATATATTAAAAAGGCAATGT